CAACAACCTACTTTCAATTTATCAACTAGAACGATCATTTTAAATTGAAGTCAGATCATTCTATATCTCATTGCCTCCTTTTTTTTTTTTTTTTTTTTTGGACAGGTAGAGTTACACACACACACAAAGAGAGAGAGAGAGAGAGAGAGAGAGAGAGATCTTTTTCCGTTGGTTCACCCCCCCAAGTGGCTGCCACAGCCAGCGCGCTGCTTCGATCCAATACCAGGAGCCAGGTGCTTCCTCCTGGTCTCCTGTGTGGGTGTAGGGCCCAAGGACCTGGGACATCCTCTACTGCCTTCCCGGGCCACAGCAGAGAGCTGGACTGAAAGAGTAGCAACCGGGACAGAACCAGCACCCCAACCGGGACTAGGACCGGGGGTGTGGGCACCACAGACGGAGGATTAGCCTAGTAAGCCGCGGCACCAGCCCTCATTGCCTCTTTATTTCTCTTGGTTCTAGAAATGCTATATTCCCAATCATCCCTTAAATATACAGTGATGACTTCCACTTTAATGCCTTCATATTAATTCTTTGCTTTACTCTTTCCCTAGATATCCACCTTAACTCCTCCAGCCTTTGCTCAGATACGAAGTGCTGTGATCATCTTATTCAAAAATAAACTTTGAGCTTCTTGTCTGCTCCTCTGGTCCTCCCTTCTTTGCTTATTTGCCCCCTTCATGCATTTTCTTAACTTAGGTGTTTATTGTGTTTATTCTTTACAACCCATCTCCATGCACTAGTATATAGGCTTCAAGAGAACAGGATTTTCCCCCTCTTTTCTTCACATATATTCTTGGATCTGGAATATTAATCAGCACAGGGTAAGCAATCAATACATATTTGTTACATAAATAAATGCATTAGTTAGAAATATAGGGACCAGAAGGAATTACATTCTGAAATGTAATCCCCTTTTAGAATCCTAAACACATTGACAGTGATAGGTGTCAACACTGCACATATTTAATTAGGGAAAAATCAATCCCTCTGTTAACCAACTAACCAATAAAACACAAAATTGTGGAAAAGGCTCTTGGATAACATTAAGGTTACATCAGGCAAAGACTGTTAAACACAATATACAAAAATGTTTTTGAAATTTAGGAACAAAATGCTCAAAGAGTAAGAAATTGTACCAGAACCATCTGTAAAGATTGTAATCTTCTGCACAGTAAAAATTGTGTTAAATAAAAGACTGACAATGTCTTACAAGTGCATAAATTAAAATGAATTCTGTATTTATCTTAGAAGAGCTATGCAAATAATAATTACAATGCAGAAGATGTACAAGGCTACACAACTCTGGAGTATCCATGAGCCAATCAATGTTTGTGGATTTTCTGGCTACATTGCTCCTCCTTTTTATGCTCACTGCCTACTATGTGACCAATTTATTGTTTTTTGTCAATTCTCATAAAAGAGCAACCTAGACAAAGGGAAATGTAAGCAAGTTAGAGCTACTCCTTGGTAGCAACCAGTAGATATATATTGAGATCTTAGTCTGGATAGCAAGAAATATCTACTATTAAAAGTATTCACTAAAATGAGTACTGAGTATGTTATTGGAAACTGGTAACATTGGCTCGACCCAATTCAGTCAAAGTGCTCACTAAGTTTCACAAAATATTGAGAACTCATCAAAAACAGATATAATGATATATTTGGATATGTATAAAAAGGAAGATAGAGTAGGGAGAAGAATTGAGACATAAAAGCCTCTGCTACAGAAATCTTGAACAGGAAGGAGATAATTTATCATAATGAAAATTCATTCAATGTAAGAACTGAAGCCACACCTGCACTTCTAATTTCTCAGTACCTGTTTCCTTATTAGCAAAAAAAAAGAGATGGTAAGGGACTATTCTAATAAAATTACTGTGATGATTAAATGGACACATTATGCAAAATACCTCAAAGCAAACACCTGCCCTTCATACTCAAATTCTAGGTTCTGTCATATTATTTTCTCTATTAGTCCAAGTGTGGACAGTTATCTCATTTTAAGAATTCACTCTTCTTTTAAATTTTGCAAGGATAAACTTTCAAGAAATAGATACAGAATAATTAACATATGGCTAAATCTATCATGGGAAATGTAAAAAGTTAGGTTAGGAAGTGCAACTGGGAACGGTTTTAAAACAAGAGGCAGACTATGGATAAAAAATGTGCATTTTTGGCTGGCGCTGTTGCTCACTTGGCTAATCCTCCGCCTGTGGCACTGGCACCCCAGGTTCTAATCCCAGTCGGGGCGCTGGGTACTAGTCCCGGTTGCTTCTCTTCCAGTCCAGCTCTCTGCTGTGGCCCGGGAGGGCATTGGAGGATGGCCCAAGTGCTTGGTCCCTGCACCCACATGCGAGACCAGGAGGAAGTACCAAGCTCCTGGCTTCAGATCGGTGCAGCACTGGTAGTAGCGGCCATTAGGGGAGTGAACCAATGGAAGGAAGACCTTTCTCTCTGTCTCTCTCTCACTGTCTATAACTCTACATGTTATAAAAAAATATGCGTTTTCTTCATATGCATAGTATATATTGTAGAAGATCATTTAAAAATTATAACACAAAGTTTCTTGAAGGAAAGAGAATAGTTTCTTCCTTTTATACAGACTAAAGTGCAGAAACTGCTTCATTCTTTGTATAGTTACTTGAATGAATTTTTATGAGAAGAGGGTTCTTTTTTTTTCATTCATTACTCCCTTGAATAGTATGAACCTTATAATTGGCAATTACACAATATTTCTCAATGAATACAGTATGCACAGATTATCATGTACCTAGCACCTAGTTTTAGGGTTCATCTGTCTCTGTAGGTGATCATTCAACTTAACAGAGGTAAATAATAATAAGTCAAATGCTCATTAGCATTTCCCTAAAGGGCAGCATGACTATTCTCACAGTTTCTGAACCATCATTTATAAACCTATGGAATTCTTCGGAAAAAATGCATAGTTCCATATGCAATATGCTAGTATATACTAAACAGATATAATAATTTCTAATATTACTCTTGAAATGATCATAATAGACCCTTCATCATAGAGAATGACAAAAAAATTATACTTGAAAAAAATTCAAAGACAAACTAAATTTTCGCTTTTGCTTAATTAAAAATACTACTTATATAGAAAATTACAGTTGAATTGTTGTTCAGATTTTGGGATAAAATACAAACAGCAAATAAATGAGCATAACTTATTTAATAATATCAGTTTTATTGAAATCCCAACCAAAATAATTTTTGGAGTGCTTCACTAAGGATATATAAAAGCACAATAGGTTTGGACTACAAACGATACTGGCTCAAATGAGCATCTATAGAGCTTTCCTCTCTCTCATTATGAATCAGTTCTTAGTGTGCCAAGGTAAACAGTATGGACTACATACCTCTTTGCCAACTCTCTTATAAAGTGGATGGAACCAATAATCCAAAAAACAAAGAGAATTAATTTTCTAACAAGTCCTTGTCCCTTTGAAGTTACATGATAAGAAAGGTCACTTTCTCACTAACTAGCTTATCTTTTGATACCTTTATCTTTTTCTTGATCATACATATTTTTCAGTATTATGATCTATTTATGCATTCTTCTACAACATCTTTATTTATGACTTTGCAAATCAACATCTTTGTGATAGGAGGCAAAAGTCACTTAGCTAATTACACATACTTGATAAGCTGCATAATAATAACCACTGTAAAACTGCACATTAATGGAAGGCATATAAATTACTGCAGTTATTCTCATTTATGGACAAACAAAATACTTTTTTTAGTTGTTTAAAAACATCTTTGTTGCCTCCATATCCATCTCGTTAAGTACACTGTGTTTTTAACCCAAATCACGGCATCAATTTTAGAAAATGGGGATTTAATCCCATTATACCAGCGTCAATGAAATAACAGCAAAAACAAAATAAAAGTCAGTTTAATCAAATACTTCTAATCTGCAGTTGAGAATTCTGTTATATGAAATATTTTTCATATAATACAATCTCAAGTATAACAGAACAGGTTAGACACATCCCACAAGGATGTTGTAGTGAAATCTGAGTTGGTCCAGCCAAAAGATTAGAAGCAGAGAGAGAGAGAGAGAGAGAGAGAGAGAGAGAGAGAATGTACAGCACTAGAATATTAATATGACTTCTGTATGAAGATTGGAAATCCTACAAAGTAATAAATAAGGTCAAAGCAACACTTAGATGATTTACTACCATAGAAAATCATACTCCCTATGAGTGATTTACTGAATGTTATATAAAAATGCAGTGTGGACAAGCTACATTCAGATGCAAGCTTGCAGCTGTCAGTATCTACATTTGCTCAATCTGGCTAGAGGATGATTTGAAGGTTGATTTAATTGTAGCTTCTGAATCATGTTCTTCCCTATGTTTTAAATTGTTTAACATAAATATAAAAATGTTAAAGTAATTTTTAGTCTGTAAATATTTAGTATAAAATCTGCAAAATCTTATTCTTTTCTGGAAGACAGAACTGAAAATAAAAAGACTGCCTGAGAAACAACATCATTACTTACTAATGGTTATTGTCCAATAGGTATGGCAAATTACCCTTGTGATGAAAAATTTCAATAGAGAGTTCAGTAGGAGAAAAAAATCAACAAACAAAAAATGACTCAACAGACTTAACTGATCAATTTTAAGAGGTACACAAATCTCATGTGTAGAAGAGTTCAATTTCAGTTCTTTAAAGGCAATATCATAGCCTAAGTATCTTCTCCATTATATGCAAACTCAAAGTAGAGATTCACCTCTTGCTTTTGCTACCAGAGCTAGAACACAAGGCACCACCAATGAACCTTGCTGATGTCATCTACTCAGCCAGAGCTCTCCTTGACCATCTTTCTATTCCTTGATACACTTCATCACATTTTAGATTTCACCTAACCATTCACTTTCCAGCATCAGCAAATAATCCTTAGGGAGAGTATCTTGTCCTTCCTCTCCAGGTTTTTTTTCCCCCAGTTTTATTTTCACTTTTATACATACCTCCTTTTCTACATATTTTCTTGCCGGGTTTTCTGGCACATTCCTTGGATATTCTTTTTACTGAAAAATGAATAGAAGACTAGAAAATAACATGGCGCTCCATCACAGACCGCCGGAACATGCAACACCACTGTCTAACTTAAACACTCCTGCATTTACTGAGTGCGAAAGATCCCCAGTTCGTTGAGCCTGCACATGCAATGAGGAAATGTTGATGCGTCTTCTCAGAAGTCATTTGGTAGGAAATGGAAATTAGGAACCCATTTCTACCTAAATATACGTGCTGTGGAGGAAAGAAAATGAGTAGGCACAGGAAAAAAAAGAGATACACTGACACACATAAATAAAAAGAGCAGCATGCACGCATGTAAAATATGTCTACATGCCAACAGGAAAAGCCATGCATACTACCAGTACACATGAATTAATATTGTTAGAACTTAGAATAGAAAATAAATCTATAAATATAGTTCCTTGTTTTTTTTTTTTTCTGCAATAAACTCACCATCCTCAGTTGGGACATAAATGTTTAAATACAGGCAGTCTTCACTCTGATCTTGCACATACGATGAAACCACATCCAGGTTGTTAGTAAACCACACAGGAAGCATGACTTCTGGCAGTCTTCCATCAATGATATTCTGGGGACACACAGGAGCAAACTGAGTGGCATTCCTGATGTCTGACCAGGGCGATGGTGGTTCTGGAGGCTGAAAACGATGTTCTCCTGTTGGGGGAGCTGCATATGGAACCCCGAGAAACTGAATAACAGGCCCCAAAATTTCATTATTCAGTTCTTTCTTAATCCCTCTTATCTTGCCGAAGTTGGTAGTCACCAGTGGGTCCATATCATCCAATTTTTGTGAGAGCACATGGGCAGCCTGAAGCAAACATCCCAACATAAAGAGAGTCAATGAGGCACCCACTCCCCTGTGCACCAAGCAGGACATCACTGCTCTCCAAACATAACTGAGCCGTGTGCACCTGGCTGGTGCCATGGTCCCACATTAGTTGCCTGGTTTCAGTGAGGCAGATGTATTTATATCCACTTCAGAAAGAGTGTATAATGGCAGAATATGCTTCCAATTGCTCAAAGGTGAGCTTGTTCAGAAAAGCTCAGAAAGATCTTTATGCAGCAAGTATTTCCCACTGATTTCACTTGTATCGAAGAAACATCTTCAATCATCACTATTTACCAGACCGCATCCTATTGACCATTCTGTTTCCCAGAGTAGCAATGCGGCAAGAGAGGCCATTGACTGTAGACTTCCCTCTTATAAATCAAATCCAGTTAGCTGCAGGTCTATATCCTAGAGAAAATGAAAATAAATCATTAGTATGAATAAGAAGAAATAGAGAGATAACTAGCTATTTTACAAGCTACAGAAATACATTAATAGTGACTAGAATCAGGCCAGTTACATAGAACCATAGAAAAATTATGGTTTGATGTGAGATGACAAGTGAAATAACAGACTATTGGATTATTGAGAAACTTGCCTGCTGACTTTATATATATTTAAGTGGAAGCAGGCCATGCCAAAATATGTGGTTTCAGAAACAACTCACAGTAAAGTATTTTTTAAATGCAGAAGGTTGTGTGTGAAATTTCCCTTTTATTGAGTTTTCAATCACTTCAACTGACTACAGAATTAATCAACAAACCTACTCAAAATTAGAATCTAATAGAAAACCTTTTAAAATAATTGATAGTGAAATGCACAACTCTTTAAGAATGACTATATATTGAAAATAAACAAAAAGGGAATTCTCAATCCTAACTCTATGCTTATCCAAAAAACAAAGGTAAGGTTAGAGCAAGAAAACTAGAACTAGTTCAACTATCATTATATTAAGTGCAACTACCACAGAAACTCAACTTCCTTGTTATCCCTCAAAAGTTTGCATAAAACTTTGGCTATAGATTCCCCCACTTTCATTTAAGACTCAAAAATTTAAAGGATAAAATGTCTTTAGACACAGCTTGAAAAAGAGGAAGAAGTTGGCATCTGCTTTGCAAAGTTATTTTATCTCCTAGTTGCATATTTTAGATATCAATAAATTTGCAATGTGAATTTCTGAGTCAAAGTCAATATATTTTAAATTACAAATGTTGTCTCATGGTCTGGTAGAGATCAAAGGAAGAATACAAAAAAAGAGTATGGTAATTTAAAAGAACAATCATAGCCAATCATGGCATCTCGCATATTTACACTAATCAAATATCTAACACTGTTGACTCAGTTCGACTTAAAATGCATCAGAATAAGCTGTAACATTCAGTGCAGTGCAATTCTCAGTGTAATTTTAAATTAACTGCCAAATAGCATACAGCTCAGAAAATTTGTCTCTTCTTGTTCAAGCAACCTTTTAACATGTTCCCTTTGAAACTAATCGTGTTGATTTGTATTAGAAATAGTTCTATCCTGTCATATTATGGGAAGATTCCTGAAGAAGTGCTGCTCTGCCAGCGAGACTGCCCTGACTTGCTGTTATTTAAAAGGAGATTGTAAAAACTATATAGGGCAGCAGGAGATTTGGTTCTGGGCTGGTGTTCCTTTAGCTCTGAACAGTCCATCACAGAAAGCAATAAGGAGATAAATGTCTATATTCTGAAATACTTCAGTCTGTGAATTCATATATGTTTGCTGTGAAAGCATATTATCATACATAAGACAGGCTTAATCCCATCCCTTGAATGCCCTACAACTCTAGCACTTATCTAAGACTTAGCTACACAAACCCATTTCTATAAAGAGTATATTATGCTTATTCTCGTACAGAATCATGGTGGGCCAGAACGTAAGATTAAATCTTTCTTGGTGTCTTTTTACAAGAGCCCAATTTTGACACCTCAAATGGAGAACCTGAGGCCAGGCTTTCAATGTCTCAAACACCAATTTTTACTTAGCCTAATTTTCAAGCACGGCACTTTGCAAAAGTTCTTCAGATAACTGATACCTTATTAATACAAAATATTTGGTTATTTGTTAACAAAATAATGCTCCTTTTTTATACGCACAAACCCTTAATTGTGTTAATAATAAACTGGCTCCTGTTTCCCACTAATGTGCTATTTTAATACAAATTGCAGATGATTGCTTGCCATGGTGAATGTTCAAATTTTAATGAGGTTTAGTTCCTGATGTTACAAAAATATCCCACTTTACATGTATGTAGGTATGTTACAAAAATATCCCACTTTACATGTATGTAGGTATGTTACAAAAATATCCCACTTTACATGTATGCAGGTACAATAGTATCTATTGCACTGACTCAAAGATCTTGCAAAAGTCATCATTATAATAACAGACATCCAAGTCTAATGTGAAAAATGCAGCTTGTTTAGATCACTGGAAAAATGCATATATGTCTCAATGGAAAGGCTCTCAAATTTGTTGGCACATTTTCCCCCCCTCCTTTCTGATGCTTCCTTAGTATGTGCCAAACCCTTCACACAGTTACATCTACTGACAACAAGCCTAGAAAACAGGTTCAACAGTTATGCCCTTGTTACTCTAGAACTAAGACCCAAAGCAGTAGCATCTCCTGGCCATAGGCTCTCAGAAAACCAGGAGCCCACTGCTGTCTGAATTAAAGGCTACCCTCTTGATCGATGATAAACTCTCAATTCACAGTTACCACTTTTTAAAAGATTTATCATAGTGTATTTTAAATTGGACTATCAAAGTGTTTTATATTTCTTCAGAAGACAGAGTAAAAGCTCTGACAGTTTCACAGAAACAGAGAAATTGAAATGATCTACCCTATTGTTATTGGAAGTTTAGATTTTATTTTGCAACTCTCCGTTAAAATGTTTCTTTGTCCTCCAAGCAGTGATCCTAAAGGCAGTTGTTACACAATTATACAGATCATGTTAAAGCAATGATTTGTATAATTTGTCTCTAAAAAGAATAAAGAAATCTTAACACAACTTTAGTGTCTACTAATGGATACTGATAAATTATGATATAGTCACAAATTAGAATTTAAAAATCAGTAAAAATAAAGGGCCTATAGATAAATCAAACATAAACCAAAAGTTTTTTAATAAAATGAATCATAGAAAATTAGATACAGCAATATACTACTTAAATAAAGCTAAGATACATAAATACATAGTAGGTGATAGTTATCACCTCTGGTTAAAGAGAAAATTAAAGAACTTAATTTCATGAATTAACTCACGCCTAAAATGGATAATCTGTGTTGAGATCTTAAAAGATCAGTAATCAATGACAAGTTTAACAAAATCTTTGTATTTCAAAGTATTGGGTGATATACACACACATACACACACATATTTTCATTGTGGAATTCTCTGTATGCTCCAAATATTCTTAAGTAAATACACTGAAATAACAATGTCAGAAAATTCACATTCAGCAGGTCAAGCCAATCATATCTCCTGTAGATTAGCCTATGTACTGATCCACACAGGGCTGCCCCACCAAGTCTACAGTTAGAGGAGACACTAGCTCATCAATTCTTCTGTGAGGAGATAATAGCTCATCAATTCTTCTATCATTTCTAACTTTGAGTTAAAGCATGTATGGTTTCACAAGAAAAATAAATACTTTTTTTTTTTTTTTACATACAGGCAGAGTGGACAGTGAGAGAGAGAAAGAGAGAAAGGTCTTCCTTTGCCGTTGGTTCACCCTCCAATAGCCGCCACGGCTGGCACACTGCGGCCAGCGCACTGCGCTGATCCGAAGCCAGGAGCCAGGTGCTTTTTCCTGGTCTCCCATGCGGGTGCAGGGCCCAAGGACTTGGGCCATCTTCCATTGCACTCCCTGGCCACAGCAGAGAGCTGGCCTGGAAGAGGGGCAACCGGGACAGAATCCAGCGCCCCGACCGGGACTAGAACCCGGTGTGCCGGTGCCGTAAGGCGGAGGATTAGCCTAGTGAGCCACAGCGCCGGCCAAAATGAATACTTTTTAAAAGCACATCATAAATCATATTATATTTTGTCTCTTGTGTTAATTCATCAAAACATCTAGGCCCTCACCTATTTTGCTCATGAGTGGTTCAGTTCAAGAGAACTGTCTGGGATATTCGGCCATTGCACTGGGTGGCCATGTTCATCCAATCTTTCATTCAATATTTATTTGGTGTTTACAAAATGCAAACTAATGCGATAACTGCTGTGGAGAATTTAAAGACAAGTACATTCTACTCATTGCTCCTAAGCAGCTCACAATACTGTAAAGAGATAGTTCACATTTTAAAAAAATGGCTCTACTGCAGGATATAAAGTGATATGTGCTTAATAAATATATATAGAACAGGGGACGGGGGCTGGTGCTGTGGCATAGCTGGTGAGGCCACCACCTGCAGTGCCAGCATCTCATATGGGTGCCAGTTCAAGTCCTGGCTGCTCTATTTCTGATCCAGCTCTCTGCTGTGAGCTAGGAAAGTAGTGGAACATGGCCCAAGTACTTGGGCCCCTGCACCCACATGGGAGACCTGCAGGAAACGCCAGGTTCCTGGCTTCAGAACCCAAATTGCTACTACTGAATTTCCTATTTGAAAGCAAATAGTACTTTCATGAGCGTGTGTATAAATGCACTTCAGTATCTTTATATCCATCATACAATCAATATAAAAATCCTTTACATAATGCAAACTTGACTAAATCTCAGCTTATTTGGATTGACTACCAGAGCTTCCAAGCTTGACGGTGACCATTAGTCATTACTAGAACAATATGCGGTCGATCCTTGTTATTCATGGCAGATGTTCTCTAAAGTCACCGCAAACACTAAATTAGGTAACACATTTATTTATTCCAGGGATACATAAATATATATTTTCCGTGATTACACATTGTAAACTTAAACCCTTAAAATAACTTATCCTAGTAGATTTTATTTTCTTTACAGGAGAAAAACTGAGGCTCAGAACCATGTGCCTGAGGCTACCCCACTAATAGGTGTCAGAAGTGGAATTTAACACCCACATTTACTGGTCCCACAGTGGAGTTTCTCATACTGCACAGTGACACCTCTGCCAGCTCCATACTGTTCTAGAGCTGAAGCAAGAATGCAATGTATTGGCTTGTTTGATCAGCTGGAAACGTGCTCACAGAGCAGCGAAGGTTTATATTGCACTGGTTATGTCTGTGGACTGACTGAGAAAGGGCTGATTTTGAGGTTATGAATAAATTCTAGTGAATAAGTAAATTTGCAAATGCAAAAATCAGGAATAGTGAAGAACCACTGTGATAACTAAAGAAAAACGTTTTCTGCTTATGGGTCTGTGAGTTGTTTTGAAGTCATGCCACACCAGTTGTCAATAAGGCTTAGTA